TCAACTGTTTCAGGATCGCCACTGGCTTAGCTGCCATCTTCAGTCCGAGAAAGACTTTCCCCTTCTGAAACCGATCAAGTAGACCGTTTGCTTTTGTTGCAGTGTCCGTTTCACCACGTGCCATTTCTTCCAAACTTTGGAGAATAGCAGGGTACTGATCGAATGCTGACTGTATAGCTGCTAGTCTGCATAACCACCTGGTGGCACAAAGGGGCTTGATCGCTGTGGGATGCAGATTGTCATCTTCGGTTGATTCACAAATTGTCAGGAATATCGCTTTGTACTTGCCAAATCTCTTCATAAGCATACCTAGCTCATTCAACCACTGCAGGGAATCTCGAATTAATTGACAAGATGTTACAGCATGTTGCATTACAAGATTGGAAGCATGTGATCCGCAGTAGAAAAAGAGTGCTAGTGGTTGTCGTTCTTGCACCCTTGCCTTACATCCAGAGTAACAACCACTCATGTTAGCGGCACCATCATATGTTTGAGCACGCATATTGCTTATGGATAATCCACTCCGAGCCAGGACATCAAAGAGCGTACGAGCAAGAACGTCACCGGTAGTACTGGGAACTTCATACAGACCGATAAAATCTTCGTGTACATATAGGTCTGAGTCAACGTGCCTCAGGCAAAATGACTCTTGCTCTTGACCGCTTATGTCCTGTGTTCCATCAACAGTTGCAGCGTAAAATTCATTCTGTTGAATGTCGCTGACAATCTTCCGTAAAATTTGGCGACTGAACATTTCTATCATCTCGTTCTGTGCACAAGGCGAAGTAAAATTTGTTTATTTCTCAAATACATCTGCAGATCAGGAACATCTTCCGTTCTAACTCTAAGCTTTAGGAGCTGTAAATAACTTCCATCACTTTCATCGTGGCCGCGAAATGCTGAGCCTTGTCGCAGTAAATATCTTACTGAAGTAAACAATTTCAAAAGGGAGTTTCTTGCTATTTCTTGTTCCTTTTGTTTCTGCGTTTGTATTTGCGCACTTACCGATGGCCTTTTCACCGCTGCAATTTGATTGACGGACAAAACGTGTGTATGAGATGTCTGATGCAACTTAAACTTTTCAATTGCTTTCTTCCAGTTGTTGAATCCTTCTGAAATAAGTGCTGGATCTTTATTATGGGCTAAATCTATTATCCCCATGGCACTAGCTTTTGAACAGTGGAAGCACAGAATTTTTTTCAAATCAGGATCATAATGAATCCATCCGTAATCTTTATACCACTTTGATTGAAAATAAAGTGTTCGCGTTGATAATTTCTGAGCAGGGATAACAGACACTTCTGGATGATTAGGCTTGTTCAAATTCAGGAAATTGTTCGATTTTGCAGTCAATGGACTCGAAGCCGAAACTGTTGCAGGTGAACATCTGTTACTTGTGAGCAAATTGTTAGAGCCGGATACTACAGAGGAAGGTCGTTGTTCATTAGGCAGCGAGGGTCGAGATATAGCCGCACAAGATATCCCTTGGCTTTCCACTTCGTCATTTTCTGCGAACTCTGTCAAAGAAGTTGGAGGATTGTCGACATGAATTACGTCACTTTGCCGCTGATTTACAATTGGCGTCGATGGCGTGGAAGGTAGATTGTTACCAGAATCAGACGATGCGTGACTTGTTAGGGTACTGGTTTGCTCAACTTGCTGTGGATCCTTAAAAAATCGTCCGATTCCTGATAGTTTGGCACGTTTAGAAGGTTTCGGGGCATTTTTTCGAGGCATGTTCGTTGTATAAATTGTCAGTATTTGCCATTTGGGAATGATTGTAAGTCTATCTCTACATCATTTGGTTAAATTGCAATCACGGCCAAATCTACAACTTTTAATTGGCGTCAGGCGAGAAACTACAAAAATGGAATGTTTAGGCTTAATATTTTACTATATTTGAACTTTTGAAGATGGTAATATAGATTTATCTCATCTTAAATCTTAATTTAGTCGTTAAATTAGTAACTTACGATTATGTTGATTAGCGAAATGAATTATGATGTCATTCAGTCCAGCTTGCCAGATAAAATAGGAAGTGAAAGTGACCAATAGCGCCTTTATGTAAATGTTTATTAACACAAATTTGAATATTTTTCAGTATTTACATGACATATGCGATGTGAGTATTTGCTTCCAGCGGCTACAGAAAGGTCATACGTTGTACTTCATCTTATTAAATGTAAAATGTCTTCGTTCCAACCACAATTCTGGATGAATAGCATACCAGGCATTAGGTTTTTAGATTACCAAGAAACAAAACTTCATTAAACATGTTAAAAAGTGGGGGGGGGGATAATTAGATATTCGTCCCCCCCCCC